CTACACGTGGAAATTCGGGGGTATCACAAGTTCAAACCTTAACATCACCCTAATTAAGAATTGAAAAACACGTGTTGGACCAAAAAAGAAGGCCACACGTGAGGGGGCCTGTTGAAGGATTTATTTATTTAAGTTACACCTCTAACAACTTAAGCTTTTAGAGTAGATGGTTGTTAACAAAACGTAACTTTATGGTCCTATTCTCAAGTTGGAATTATATGGTCCAGCATATTGGACATCATATAAATTAAAAATGTTAGTCACAAAATAATTAAATAAATAAAGTTGAGAGTCACTATGTGGAACCCAAGAAACACACTTGATGGTGATAGAAGAGAGAGATTTGATGAAGGGTGTGTACATCTTGAGTAAAGTATGGAGAATCATGCTCCCACTTACACATATCACACAAGTATTAGAACAAGATATCTCTGCATCCCTTTGTTCGAAGATTCTACCAATGAGCATTCATTTCTTCATTCTTCTTTGGTAGAAGCTACCACGAGCTTTCAATTTCATATCTTTTCATGGGTAGCACCATTATTGAGCTTGATCATATGTATCCTTCACAGTGGTTCTTCAAACCCTAGAGTCGAGCTTTCATTTGAATATCTCTTGATTTAACTCTAGGTATTTGGGTAGAAATTGTACAAATCAGTCTATTGAAAGATACATCTTTGTACGCCAAGGCTCACTCTCAGCCTTTATGTGAGAGGAGTTGAGGCTCACTCTCAGCCTTCATGTGAGAGGAAATAGGCCAACTCTCAGCCATGATTTGAGGAGATGGGCTTATTCTCAGCCTTAATGTGAGAGGAGTTTGGCTAACTCTCAGCCTCTCACACATGATGGGCTTACTCTCAGCCTTAATGTGAGAAGAGTTTGGCTAACTCTCAGCCCTACTTTGAGAGGAAGACGGCTTGCTCTCAGCCTTGATGTGAGAGAGGTTCCCACTCATCCTCAAAGTGAAGAGGCTCTACTCTTTGCCTTCAAGAAGGGGCTCCAATAAAGATTGGATTTCAAATCCTCGAGTGAAAGCTTGAGGCGAGGATGTAAGTAGTTTTCCCGAACCTCATAAAATATTGTGTCAGTATCTCTAACCCTTAAACTCGTTTAGATTTAGTGTCCAAGTATGTTTAGTTTGGTTTAGATGCATTTAAATGTGTTTGTGCATGCATAATTAGTTGAGATTAGATGCTTGATATCATAGTCTAATTTCTCTGTTCTAGATGCATGATTAGGATTAGATGTATGTTTTTACCAAGCCTTGATTTTTGAAAGACTTAATTTGTTTAGTTGATGTGTAGCACTCTTTGTATAATTATAACAATCGGAGATTTGTTCCCCTGTGCTTGCTAGCTTCCATGTATGTATGCATTTCATTTTAACCAACAACCAAACAAGCCACAAATCAAACAAAAAACTCAAGTCACTGCTGAAATATTTTTATTATTATTATTATTAGCTGTTTTTAGCCTTTTATTAGGTGTTTTATGTAAGATCCCTGTAATCATGGATCACGTAGACAAGATTGTTGACTTTAAAATATAATCAAATCAAAAGTGATAAAGAAGAAAAAGAGAAGAAAACGGATGAGAGAAAGAGAGAGAGAGAGAGATGGGGAAAGAGAGAAAGAATGAAAGAATCCTTTCATCCTTCCACCACATTCTATTTATGATAACAAGTTTCAAAAATTACACATAAGCCCCAACATTATATAAGTAATAACAAATAAGGCCCTGAAAACACTCCCCCTCAAGCTGGTGCAAAGATATCTATCATGCCCAGCTTGACTAACATATTTTGCAAGCAAGTCTAGATCACACCCTTAGTCAAAACATCAACAACCTGATCATGTGTATTAACGTGTGGAGTACAAATTAGCCCAAGACGAAGCTTTTCCTTGATGAAGTGTCGATCGACTTCAATGTGCTCTGTCATGTCATGTTGAACTGGATTGTGAGCAATGCTAATAGCAGCCTTGTTGTCACAATACAGCTTCATTGACTCGCAAACAGGATAACCCAACTCACCCAACATCGTACGTAGCCATAACAACTCACAAACTCCATGTGCCATGGATCTGAACTCAGTCTCTGCACTAGATCTACCTACTACACACTGTTTCTTGCTTCGCTATGAAACAAGATTACCTCCAACAAATGTGCAATATCCTGAAGTAGATTGTAGATCGACGATCGTCGATCTGTCACAGACCCTGCCCAATCAGCATCAGTATAGGCTTCAACACGCAAGTGGCCATGACTGCCAAACAATATCCGCTTACCAGGTGAACTCTTAAGGTAGCGAAGAACATGATGAGCTGCCTGAAGGTGAGGCCTACATAAAGCATACATAAACTGACTAATCACACTAACAGTGTAGGCAATATTCGGGCGCATGAGAGATAAGTAAATCAGTCTCCCAACCAATCGCTGAAATCTTTCCACATCATCTAATGGGTCTCCATCTACATCATTAAGCCTATGGTTTTGCTCAGTGGGAATATCAATAGGTCTAGCTCCAAGCCTGCCTATTTCAGCCAACAAATCTAACACGTACTTCCGTTGAGAATTGAACACCCCTATCTTCGATCTGCACACCTCGATCCCAAGAAAGTATCTCAATGATTCGAGATCTTTAAACTTGAACTCTGTCCCCAAGAATGACTTCTTCGACGAATCTCTTTTGGATCATTTCCAGTGATAACAATATCATCAACATATACAATAAGGATAGTGGTGCAGCCCTGGTGCTTCTCGATGAAGAGAGTACGATTTGTCTAACTCTGTGTGTACCCTACATTTTCCACAGTAGTGCTGAACCTCTCAAACCAAGCACGTGGTGACTGCTTTAACCCATACAAGGCTTTATTTAGCTTGCACACTAAATTCTGACCATTGGCAAGCTTAAACCCTGGTGGCATAGTCATATACACCTCTTCCTCTAAGTCACCATGAAGGAAAGCATTCTTTACACCCAGTTGATGTAAGGGCAATTCAAATTAGCTGCCAAAGAAAGAATAACACGTATAGAGTTCATCTTGGCAATTGGAGCAAATGTTTCCAGATAATCAATTCCATAGGTCTGAGTGAAGCCCTTTGCAACTAACAGAGCTTTATATCTCTCAATTGTTCCGTCTGCATGATACTTTATTGTGTAGACCCATTTGCAGCCTACTGGTTTCTTATCCCTAGGTAATGGAACAATATCCCAAGTACTATTCTTCTCAAGGGCCATCATTTCTTCAAGCATAGCTTTTTTTTCCATGGAGTTTGACTGAGAGCATCTGAAACACTAAAAGGAACAGATACAAAGGAGATACACGAAGTGAAAGCACGATATATTGGAGATAAGGCATCATAGGATACAAACTAAGATATGGGATGCTTTGTACAACTATGAACGCCCTTACGATAGGCAATAGGGACATCAAGATCAATAGAAATGCTATTGGGAAAAGAATCAGGAGTATCAATGTCAACTAAGGAATTACCTGGATCGAGGGAGACTTCTTGGTCCTCAGGTGAGTCAATAACTTGTTTTGCCCTCCTAGTGTAGACAATTGGCTACTTTCCATGCTGCAAATCAATAAAGTTAGGAGGACTAGACATAGGTACCACAGTAAGAACCTCCCTATGAATAGGAACAAGCAAAGGATAGGGGCATTCCCTCTGAATGGACAATGGATTCTCTACCTGTATAGTAGTCTCCCCCTGTATAGAATCCTGAGCAGGGGAAAAAAAAGGAACAGACTCAAAGAATATAACATCCATGTAGACAAAGCGACGGCGAGTGGTAGGGTTATAACACCGATACCCTTTCTGAGTGGCAGAGTCCAAGAAATGTACCTTGACTAAAAAGATACCTTGATTGAGGTATTTTCATTCAAAGATTTAATCTTTACTCATTAAAACACTCTCCGTGACTCCCAAGGGAAGTCGAATAAGTTTAACTCAAAACTCTTATTTTCATTCAAATATTCAATCATTATACATTAAAAAGGTCTATTGCCTTAAATGGTGCCTTGATTGAAGTATTTTCATTCAAAGATTCTATCTTTACTCATTAAAACACTCTTTGTGACTTCAAAGGGAACTCGAATAAGTTTAACTCAAAACTCTCATTTTCTTTCAAAGATTCAATCTTTATACATTAAAAAGGTCTAGTGACTTGAAAGGTACCTTGATTGAGGTATTTTCTTCCATTTTGTCCTTGCGATGATGAATGTGAAAATAACAAACACAACCAAACACTTTAGGAGGGACAGTAAACAAGGCAGTGTCATGGTGTAAGACAGAGAAGGGGGATTGATAGCCAAGAACCTTAGAAGGCATGCGATTGATAAGGTATGTAGCTGTTAAGGTTGCATCAGCCCAATAACTTTTAGGCACCCCCATCCCAATTAGAAGAGAACAGGTCACCTCCGTAATGTGACAGTGTTTTCTTTCAGCTACACCATTCTGTTGTGGTGTATCAACACAAGAGGTTTGATGGACAATTCCGTTATCAGCAATAAAAAAAAGGTAAGACCACCATACATAAACTCTCCTCCATTATTAGATCGAAGAATTTTGAGGGGACAACCAAACTGAGTACATATCATCCTATGAAAGGTTTTAAAAATGGAATGAACTTCATCTTTGGTTTTCATAAGATAAAGCCAAGTATATCGACTAAAGTCATCAACAAATACAAGAAAGTAACGAAAACCAAGTAACGAAGTAGTAGATTTAGGGCCCCACACATCAGAATAAACAAGCTGCAAAGGAGCTGTATTTATTAATACTAGTAGGATAAGAAACACGACATTGTTTATCGAGAATGCATGTTTCACAATTTAACTCAAAAGATTCAACAGAAGCAAACTGGGGAAACACATGCTTCAAAACTGGAAGAAGTAAATGACCTAGTCTATTATGCCATCGCATTAACAGATCTTTATTGACATTACTATTCCTAACACTAGATTGATTTGCAACATAATAAGAAGTTGGCCTCACGTTCAGCAAATACAAGTAGTTGTCCTCACGTCCACTTCCAATTGTCTTCCCCGTGTCCAAGTCCTGAAACACACAGTGAAATGGAAAAAAGGTTACACTACAATTCAAGCCTTTTGTAACGTGACTGACAGAAAGGAGGTTATTGGTAAACCTTGGGACATGAAGAACAAAGGATAAGGTAAGGTTAGGAGAGGCAGAAACAGTTCCCTTCCCCGCAATGGAGGTGAAGGTGCCATCAGCCACTCTAACCTTCTCCTTACCAGAACATAAACTGTACGAATAAAAATCAGATGCCATGTCAATCATGTTATCAGTGGCTCTTGAATCAATAATCCAGGGTGGCCCACCAAATAATATGGAAACCTGATGTGCCGAATGAGAGTTATCTGTCTGGGCGAAGTTAAAGGTGGAAACAGAGGAATATTGTACTAGTAGATGTCAAAGAGCATCAAGTTCAGCCTCGGACAAAGAACTCGGTGTCCCTGAGGAGGTATGACTAGTAGAAGCAGTCTCACGCTCGCAGTATGTTTGGCCTAGCATTCGCATTAACAGGAGCTGAAGTAGGGCAACCGTGTAGATTCCAGCATGTTTCCCTAGTGTGGCGCGTACGCCCACAGTGATCACACCTCAACTTGCTTTTGTCATCCTGTTTCCCTCCTTTTAGAGGGTTGGGCTTGTTCCATTGTTGTGTGGTAAGAGCAGACCTCTCAGACAATGGTACTTTTGGCTCAAGCTTAGTGTATACTGGTGTAGACATAGCCTTCATTATGCTCTCCCCAGTCTGGATATACGAAAACACATCTCTAACAGAAGTAAGGGCTGGATACCTGCCTAACACTTGTAGACTGGCATGCTCGTATCTCGAATGCAGACCACCCAAGAACTCATAGATTCGATTCCTTTCTACCATAGAATGAAATGCTTTAACATTCGTTGCACACACAGGTATATAGTCTTGGTAGTGATCTAACTCTTCCCATTTACCACGTAGAGTGTGGTAATATGTAGCAAGAGTTTAGTCTTCCTACTTGAATTTGGAAATCTGTTGTTGGAGTTCATACAGTTTTACAAAATTACCAGTCGAGGAACATGTCTCTTCCACAGCCGTCCATAGCTCTTTAGCTGTTTTCACAAATAGAAACCCTTTGCTGATCTGTGGCTGCATTAACTGTAACAACCACGTCATAACTAGTGCATCATTTGCACTCCACTCTTTGAATTCAGGATCGCTCTTGGAGGGATACATGATGGTCCCTTCGATATGGTCAACCATCCTATGACCAATGATATGCATACGAGCAGATTGAGCCCACTCCATATAGTTCGTCTCATCCAACCTAACATTCGTAATACAAAGGCTTGGGTGGTGATCACTACTACCTCCCAATACTGGAGTCAAACTAGGACAAGACCCAGCTTCTTTTGAAGTCACCTCTGAACCAGACATTTTATCAAACAGCTTCTGGGTTTACAATCCTCATAAACAAAAATAGTAACAAAATACGTGGAGAACCACCTCTCTAACACACAAACTTCAACTAGAAAGATTACCGTCTTCTGAGATGTATAAAAAGCGACCACATAATCACCACACAAACCCTAAAAAGCAACAAAGTAGACCATACCAGAATCGCGAACGACGAAGAAAAAGCCATTGTTGCAGAAACCCACAAACACAAGAAAAACACCAATCAAGATTGCAATAGATAAAAAACAGGTCCAAAAAATTTTTTTGCGCGCTGCCCCCTACGACCCCCAACCAACTCACCGCGGAGTTGGATTTGTAATACGTGTGGATGTGATTAACACTACGTCCTTGCAAACAAATCCCATCTTGGAATCTCTTCAAAACCCTTCACACCAACTAGGGTTTACACAAACTTGCCCTAAGGTTTCAACTACACACCTAGAGCTTTACAAACCATGCTTTGATACCATGTTGACTTTAAGATATAATCATATCAAGAGTAAGTGATAAAGAAGAAGAAGAAAAAAAGAAGAAAGCGGATGAAAGAAAGAGAGAGAGAGAGAGAGAGATGGGGAAAGAGAGAGAGAATGAAAGAATCATTTCATCCTTCCACCACATTCTATTTATAATAACAAGTTTCAGAAATTACACATAAGCCCCAACATTAAATAAGTAATAACAAATAAGCCCTTGACAACAAAGATCCTCGTAATCATAGGATCACGTAGATTTTGGCATATTTCCTGGTTTTCTTTGATTTGGTTTCCTTTCTTTGTACCCTATTCTTGTATATAAATATAACTCAAGGCTCTCGATTTGAGTAGGCCAAAACCCAAAAACGCTTTTTTTTTTTTTTGTATCAGAACAAAACAAAAAACATTCGCCCCCTCATCTTCCTTCCCCAACGCCGCCACCTTCTCTCTCCTTTTTCCCTCACCTCCGACGCACCTCCATCTCCTCCCAGCCCTTGACTTCTTTTCTAGGAGAATTCCCTTAGGTTTTTTATGACCTAAGGGTCCTCTTCTTCCCCCCCCCCCCCCCCCCCTCCCCTCCTCTCTTGTGGGCTGCCGGTGTTTGTTCAACAGCATATTTGCAAGAAAGCGCCGACTTTTCCACCCTTGTTTTTCTCTTTCCTCCCTCTTTGATGTGTGGACTGCCTTATTTTGCTACTATAAGTGATTCTAGTAGCCAAAAGGACACTTTATCTTCAGCACAGCATACTCCGGCGCAGCGGGTTACTAATGTGCTCTTAAATGGGTGCAACTTCGTATCTTGGTCCCGTTCTCTTCAACTCTATATTGGAGGGAAAGGGAAAATTGGTTGGCTTTTAGGTCTCGTCAAGGAACCGGAAAAGACGAATACTAAATATATTGCATGGGACATGGACAGATGCACCATTCTGGGTTGGATCTTCAACTCAATGGAGGTTTGTATCTATAATACGTTCATGTTTCACACTTCCGTTTTTCGTTTGTTCTAAGCCCTTAACAAGATGTATGCCCATTCCCGCAATGACGCTCGTATCTTTGAACTTTATCAGGAGATTGCTCATGCATCTCAAGAGACACTCAAGTTGTCAATATCAGAGTATTTTGGGTACCTCCAGTCTAGGTGGGAAGAATTAGCACAGTATGAACCACTCTCTGATTTCTCTAAAGCTGCTGCAACTCTTTTGGTCAAGAGACTAGATCACCAGCATACCTACCAGTTTTTTATGTGTTTACGATCTGAGTATGATGCTCTTAAAACTCAGATCATAAACACATCTCCTATACCCGATTTATATGATGCTTTCGCTATTGTTGACCATGAGGAGCATAGACGTCAGATCTCTCATCCAGTAGCTTTACCAGAGACTCCAGTTGATCAGATAGCTCTTGTTGCTAATTCTAGACTTTCAGAGGGAAAGGTTATTTCTCGTAATCGTCCTGCTGGACGTGGCTGCACTACTGCAGTAGCTGATACAATGGGTGGGTATACTACTCCACAGATTGTTATCCCTCTTACTTCCACTCCTCCCAGACCACCTTTTAAGATTTCAATCAGTTACAGTCCCTAATTGGTCAGCGTCAAGAGCAATTCGGAGCTTTATCTACCAGGGCTAGCTCTTCTACTCCCACGGCTACTATAGCTACAGGTATTGCTTTTCATGTTAAAGCGGGAAAACCTACTTAGATTTTGATTCCGAAGCTAATGATCACATGACTAGTAAGTTGTCATTATTTTCTACTCCCGTTACTCCTGTTAATCAGGATGTTAGTCTAGCTGATGGGTCAACCACCATTATTCGAAGTATATGAGATGTTCATCTATCCCCTAATATTATTTTGCCATTTGTTCTTCATGTTCCTAACTTTGCATTTAATCTTCTATCTGTTAGCAAACTTGCCAAATCACTAAACTGTGCAATGATTTTCTTTCCTCATTAATGTGTTTTATGGGACCTGTGTTCGAAGAGGATTTTTGGTAGGGGACATAAGCACAATGGCCTCTACTACTTTAGGGATCCTCCACCGACACCTCCTCCACTTGCTTCAAGCCTTCAAGCCTCTATTCTTCCAGTTTCTAGGTCTTATTTTATAAACATAGGCTTGTTAAGTGATAAGATTAACAAGGTTGGTAATATGAGCTTAAACCGAGCTTGAACAAGAATATGAGATTAAACTTGGCTCATTTTATTAAACGAGCTGAGCCGAGCCCAAACTCAACTTTTTTGAGCTTGTCAAGATCCCGAGTTGAGCCCACAAATGAACGAACCAAGCACTAACAGTCTAAAGCTCGGGTAGGTTCATTTGCAACCCTACACACAGATGAAAGTCTCTTGCATATAAGATGACCAATTTAATGAAATTCAAATACACAAACATGAGCATGTGGACATGTTACTATGTAAGTGGTGCTACAATTCTATAATCCATTAAACCAAAGTCATTGTAGCACAAGTGCTAGCATGAGCATCAAAAGAGAAATTTGAGGCTATAGTTCAACACTAACAGTCAATTCCAAAATAATAAAAACAATAATATAATAAAATAAATAATATTTTGCAGGCATTAGTTAACAAATTATTGCCAAACAATAAGTTACCTGAAAACCTTTGTACTTGATGAGCTCTTTAATTCGGTCTACAACAAAGAGTTGTCCTTCCCCATCAAAATATCCAAGATCTCCTGTATGCACCCAGCCCTGTTTATCTATAGTTAGCTTGGTGGCCTGGGGATTGTTGAAATAACCTGAAAATGTGTTGTTGAATTGTATTAGTACAAATCATCAAACTTAAAATAAAATAACACTTGCATACAATTTAAAGAAATCCTTAGGGTTTGTTAATAAAATAACACTCGCATGAAATTTGAAGAAATGAGAGGGCCCTGTTTGGTTTAACAAAACCAAAGAATGAGATGCCTACATTTATTACCAACTTTTTTCAAACTGAGAATATCATCCATTGGATGTTTATACAGGAATAATTTAACCATATAAAAGTACCATATCCTGAAACAAGTTGTTAGATTTCTGCAAAACACTCCCCCCACCACAACAAAAAAATAAAAATAAAAATAAATAAATAAATCAACAAAAACAAAGAATGAGATGCCAAAGTTGCCAACATTTATTTCAAGCTTTTATCAAACTAAGAATATCATCCATTGAATGTTTATACAGGAATGCTTTAACCATATAAAAGTACCATATCCTGAAACAAGTCATTAGATATTTTCTACACGCTCTCCGCACCACAAACAAATAATAATAATAAATAAGTAAATAAAAATAACACACCCACACAAATACACCACTTTTTCCAGAAGACCATAATCACCATATCTTGAAACAATTCATCAAATATCTGCTACACATTACCCCAAACCCCACCTTCAATTATCACACACACCTCCACCTCTTTTACACCCAATAAGATGATAGGTAACCCTGCTAAAAGATTTTCCATGCGTCAATAAGTCAAACTAAATGAAATCAATAAAAAAATGTACACATCACTTGAAATTTTGAAAATAAAAATCTTCAATAGTTGCATGAAATTTTATTGGCACGTGACTTGGGTCCATTATGCTTTTTCATATCATTCGAAATAATGATGTACAATTACAAGTACCATAATTCTTAAGAGATTAAATAATGGTATCATTTGCACCTACATAGTCGTACTCGTAAGGCCATAAATAATGTTCGTGTGCGCATGGCTTGTGGCCCCTCCCCCACCCAATGGTGCTGTTGCTTACTGTTGAGAGAGAGAGAGAGAGAGAGAGAGAGAGAGAGAATATATGAAAACTTAAATGTTATATACAATGGTGTTTATATAAGAGAAGCTACGGGAGTAGGTGAGTGGAGAACAAGAAAACCCTATACATGGTAATTCTATATATGGTAATGAGGGGTAGGTGACAACTTATACAATACTAACAGTACATGCGTGACAACTCATACAATACTGTACAACACTCTCCCTCAAGCTGGAAAGTAAATGTCAATAACTCCCAACTTGCTACATATGGAATCAATAAAGTTCTTAGGAAGCGCCTTAGTGAAGATGTCTGCCAGCTGTCTACCAGAAGGAACAAAAGGTGTAACAATCTCATTCGAGTCAACTTTAGATTGAATGAAATGGCAATCTACTTCAATGTGTTTAGTCCTCTCATGGTAGACTGGATTGCTAGCAATATGAATAGCTGCCTGATTGTCATAATGGAGAGGAATTGGGTACTGGACTGAAATCCCAAGTTCCTGTAAAAAAAATTTCAACCAAGTAAGTTCACAGGCAGTGTGTGCCATGGCACGATACTCTGCTTCAACACTGGAACGAGCCACAACTGACTGTTTCTTACTCCTCCAAGTTACTAGATTTCCTCCTATGAAGGTGCAGTAACCCGTGGTGGACAGTCAATCAGAAGGAGAACTGGCCCAATCTGCATCTGTATATCCCTCAATCCGAAGATGTCTAGAATATCGATAAAGCAGACCACGTCCCGGAGCACCCTTGAGATACTTCAAGATGCGTACAACTGCCTCCATGTGAGGTACCCGAGGACTGGTCATGAACTGGCTCATAACATTGACTGCATAGGACATATCTAGACAAGTGATTGTGAGGTAAATAAGTTTACCTACAAGTCTTTGATACATCTCTGAAGCATCGAGTGGGTCACCATCATCCACCTTAAGTTTTACATTAGTCTCCATGGGTGTAGCTACAGGTTTCGAACCAAGACATCCAGTATCCTATAATAGATCAAGAGTATATTTCCGCTGAGAAAGACTAACGCCTTGCTTCGACCGAGCCACCTCAATTCCTAGAAAATACCGAAGTTTGCCCAAATCCTTAGTAAGGAAGCTAGAACTCAAGTGATGGATTAGAATTTGTATCCCATCTTTGTCACTACCAGTGATAACAATATTATCCGCATACACCACAAGAATCACAATACCACGTTTCGTTTTCTTAAAAAACTGAGAGTGGTCAGCTTAGCTTCTGGTTATACCATGAGCTACCACTACTTTACTGAACTTATCAAACCATGCACGAGGGGACTGTTTAAGGCCATAAAAAGACTTCTTGAGATGACACACACACTCCCCCTTATACTCGAACCCAGGTGGTTGAGTGTCTCATTAAGGTCACCGTGCAGAAAGGCATTTTTAACATCAAGTTGATGAATTGGCCATCTAGATTAGCTGCAAGAGAGATTATCACACGAACAGAATTCAGTTTGGCCACAGGAGAGAACGTCTCAGTATAATCAAGGCCATAAGTCTGTGTGTATCCTTTAGCAATAAGTCAAGCTTTGAGATCATCAACAGTACCATCAAGCTTCTGTTTAACAATAAAAACCCAACAGCAGCCAACAACTTGAGTGTCAGCAAGCTTAGGAACAAGGTCCCAAGTATGATTCAATTTTATAGCGTTTATTTCTTCTTCCATAGCTTTCCTCCACCCTAGATGAGAAAGTGCCTCCCTATAGGACTTATGAAGAGCAATAGAAGATAATGATAAAGAAAAAGCTTGAAAGGAGGAGGACAATTTATTATACGATACAAAATTAGAGATAGGGTGATTGGTACATGACCGTTTACCTTTCCGAACAACAATATGTTGATCAAGATCAGAGTCCGGAAAGATAGAAGAATCTCCAGGCGTTGAAGCAACTGGTGGAAATGGCAAGGCTGGGTTTACTACTTCAGTCGTTGGAACATGATTAACTACTCTTTTCCCACGACGAACATAGACACGAAGAGCTGGTGGGATATCGAAATCAAAAACTGGAGTTGGAAGAACAGACTCTTGAAGAACAGAGTCCTCCAGGCGACTGCCTTCCTGAGAATAATAAGGAACATCCTCAAATAAAGTTACATCTGCACTCACATGTTTACAAAGAGTTGGACCATAACATTTATATCCCTTTTGAGTGCGAGAATAAACCTAAAAAAATACATTTGTGAGCACGAGGATCAAGTTTGTCTCGTCCCAGGCTTAGATTATGAACAAAACAGACACACCCAAACACCTTTAGAGGAATGGAAAAAGGATTTTTTGTCAGGAAACATCATTTGGAAGGGTGATTTTCCTTGAAGGACCCTAGAAGGCCTGCGTTTTAAAATATAAGCAACAAGAACTGCATCTGCCCAAAAATGTTTTGGAACATGCATTTGAATTGTTAAGGCACGAGCGATAGCTAAGAGTGGGCCATTCTTCCATTCAGCAACTCCATTTTGTTGAGGGGTATCAACACAAGATGTTTGATGGATAATGCCCCTCGACTCAAGAAACTTTTGAAAAACATTAAGTTTATATTCAAGGGCATTGTTAGTTCTAAGAACAAGTAATTCTGCGTCAAACTAATTTTGAATTTCAGCATAAAAGGATTGAAAAACAGAGAATACTTGATATCTATCTTTAAGAATATAAACCCAAGTTAAACGCGAATAATCATCAATAAATGACACAAAATAACGTGTACCAAATAAACCAGTAGTATGAGCTGGTCCCCAAACATCCGAATGTACTAACTCAAAAGGTTTTAAACTTTTATCAAAACGAGACTTAAAAGTAGCCCGACGATGTTTACTAAGTTTGCAAGTAGTAAAATTAAACTTAGAAAAATCAACTAAAGAAGGGACCCAAAGACTATTTGGAGGGGGATGTCCAAGGCGACAATGCCACTGGTAAGCTGAAGAAGAGGTGGAATATAGAGCTGTCGGAACAGTAGTTGGTTGGATGTAGTAAAAGCCATCCTTCTCAAACGCCCCACCAATCGTCTTCTTCGTCTTGAGATTCTAAAAGACACAACGAGAAGGAGAAAAAGTAACTATGCGCAATTTAAATCTGATACGATTTTGCGAACTAAATATAAATTGAATGAAAATTGAGGGATATATAAAACTGATGAAAAAGTGAGACCCGAAGTGCGAAAGGTACCAATTCCATGAACAGATGATTTGGCACCATTCGCTATAGTAACAACCAATGGTGAGAAACACAAGAAATATCAAAAAGAAGAGATGGGTTACCTGTCATGTGATCGGATGCCCCTGAATCAATGATCCAAGGTGTAGAAGATGAAGCATGGAGATACGTATTACCTGAAGTAACGATAGTAGCGGTGGAGGAGGGCTGATTTGCACGCTCACGCTTTACCAGTTTGGTGCTGGTGATTGACCCAAGAAGATGGGATTCCTTAGTATCCATCACAAGAGCTACCAAACAAATGAGATATAGTAGCGAGAGGGAGCCGAGATAAGAGAACCAAGATCTAGCCGAGATGAACCCGAGAGAAATTATTGAGGAGAGAGCCGAGGGGGGATCCGAGAGAGATTGCTAAGACGAGAACTGAGATCACCGAGAAGAGATCACCGAGAAGGGATTAAGAGAAAGCCAAGATGGAATCAAGATCGGAGTCTGAATAAGACTAAAAAAACATTTAACGAGGGATCGATTTCCGCTCCGATACCATGTTGAAAGAGAGAGAAAAAGAGAATATATGAAAAGTTATATGTCATTGAGTGAGTAATCCAATAATACAATGGTGTTTATATAGGAGAAGCTACGGGAGTAGGTGAGTGGAGAACAAGAAAACCCTATACATGGTAATTCTATATATGGTAATGAGGGGTAGGTGACAACTCATACAATACTAACTGTACACGTGTGACAACTCATACAATACTGTACAACACTTGCAATACATTTACAAAGAAAATATTCCTAAAATGCAGA